ATTTGTATAAAATCAGATAATCAAGCCGAATATAACAGTTGAGCGACCGTGCTAGAACCACGGAACTCGGGAATGCCTAACACCTTCTCCCGGGTTAACAGAATTCCTTATCCGGATTTCTGGTACGCAGACTGTAATATGGAGTCATTCTTTTCCTCAATTCGGGATTAAAATTGGTGACTTGGGACACCCTAAATCTCCCAAGTGGCGACTCTGAAATAAATAAACCAATCCCGTCTCGATTGTCCTTTAATTGGAAAAAACTCCCCCTGCGCCTTCGGGTGCGGAAAAAGGAGGTGTGACAGTTATATTGTATTAGTGGGAAATAGTCCTATTAGCTGGAAATCCAAGAAGCAAGAGACAGTTTCATTGTCTTCAACAGAAGCTGAATACAGATATTTGAGAAAATTGGTTGGGGAGTTAGTTTAGTTGAAAAGATTACTTGATAAACTGACAGTCCCCTCTCCTGTTCATATTAGAGTATTTTGTGATAGTGAGTCAGCTTTACACATAGCAAGGAACCCAGTGTTTTATGAATGCACCAAACATACCGAAGTAGATTTCCATTTTGTTCGAAAGCAACTACATGAAGGTCTGGTTTCCTTGCATTACATTGCCACCAACGACCAGCTTACAGACTTTCTTACCAAGGCACTCACAAACATAAAACACTCTACTATTTCGAGCAAGTTGGTTGTGCTTTCCCCAACTCCAACTTGAGGGGGGGGGGGGATATTGAGATTGTATTTGTTCTTATGTATTTATTTTTGTATGTTAGTTAAAGGAAGAGTTAGTTGGGATACTGTTGGAAGCAGTTAGTGGTCAAGGTGCACAACTATCACTCTTTCTGCGTGTATATATGTTATTGTACGGATTCAATACAATTGAGCTTCATTCTTCATCAAAGCATTCTTCTTCTGCTTTCGTCTTCTTCCTCTCTCTCTCACAGGGACTCTTCAAAAGCTTCCAGATTCAGCCATTGGAGCAGAGGTTGAGCTTCACTAAGCTAGTCTCAATCACAATCTTGTCAAGTTTAATTATTTGAAAGTCCAGTGGCCTCTAATTAATTCGGACTTGCGTCCCCACTAAAGGAAATAAAACACATAGCTTCTAATCAATAGCACTTTGATTTCTCATAATTAAACTCTTTCTCAACTCTGATCTCATTCGTTTTACAGTGATCAGTCTAGAGGCGATTTAAGTTATCGGGTGTGAAGCATCATTAAATTAATTAATATGAACTTATGACGTTAATCGATTTTTTGGTTCTTTACAAACTTGTTTTTAGTTTTATAACCCTACCTCTTTTTTTACACATGAGAGATTTACTTTTACACGTAAGAGATCTGTCTTTTACACATAAGAAATATAAAAAGGTCATTTTCTTAAATTCAAAATTATAAAGGGGCATGATGTACAAATAACACTTATTTACTACGCATTTGTTCAAATTATTAGGTTTACATATAAAGGTTTAGTCGAAAATAATTGTTGCTGATGAAAACATTGCTAATTTGCTGCATTGGCCACTTGATAATGCTCCTCTTTATCTAATTCAAGCTTCTTTTTTCACAATCTCTTTGTTGGAGGAACTAGTGGGGTATTCAAAAGGGTGTATCCCTCATTGATTAGCAGGAGCTCCCTCTTTCATTTTATAAACAATTTGTCTTACTAATGGCTCGTAAAGAGCAAGAAAAAGGGACTGGGCTTGCGCCCAAAAGAGTTGGATCCTAGGGCGGAGGCAGGGGCGGATCTAGGGTAATCTGGATCTGCCTCTGAGTGGAGGAAGTAGATGAACACTTGGCCAGCTCAAAATTAACAAAAACACCAAATCAGGGCTCAAGCTAAAAGAAAAACTTTCTGTTAAAGTATACTTGATATATATGGAAAAAAAACAAACTACAGCTACACTTTTGGTATTAAAAGGCAGAGGCCTCTAAGTTAGGCTTTCCCTAAAAACAATTACGGTTAGCAATACAAGAAAATGTTCAAATTTAAAATTAAAAAAAAAAAAATCAAAAAGAAGGGACAATATGGTGCAACCAAATGGTAGAAAGAGCTACAACAAGGGTGAGATAAGGCCATTTCTTTTCCACAGCCACATTGCAATATTTCTCTTCTTCTTTACCAGGAATTGAGAATTTGTTTTGCTTATAACAATACCATTTAAATTCCTGAGCTTTCTTTTTCTCCTCCCTCTCCATTAAGCATTCTCCATTGACACTGACACCCCTCTTAGCTTCAAATTTTGAACCTTTTTCGTCCAAGCATCCCCCAAAACATATCCAAAAAAAAGTATGTAAAAGTGCAATCATACCCGCCAAAGTTCTCATTGTTGTTGTCCATGGTCTTGTGACTTTCTTAATAAAATTATCAAGAAAAGTTCTTTCTTTCGGTATTATTGATGTTGAATCTGATATTTTTCCTATATATAGAGGAAAGTCATGGACTGTGACTAGGTTACGATGAATCCTAAGAGTCGTAGAAGGTGTCACTTGATGATAGAATGTCTTGGCTGCTTGCCTTGTTGCTATAAAAAAACCATGATTGACTTCAATCTTCTCATACATTTCAAAGCTTGAGGAATTTGATAAACCATCAGTCATGTCTCCATCATCAAACAAGTTGTCATTGCCAAACCCTATTGAGAAATTGTTTGTATCCGTTTCATTGAATCCATTCAAGCTGTTGTAGTGACCACTGTCTTCACCTGTCATTTAAATGGATCAAAAAAGAGACCTAAAAGTAAATTAAGAAGAAAAGAGAAGATAGTATGAAATTTTTAAGAGAAAGACAAGACTTCTAAATATGCCATGACATTTAGGGGCTGTTTCATTCAAAGATAAGTTGAACACAGATTACAATTCAGGCATTAGTAGTACAAGAATTTATAATACGGGGATTAATAGTACATGGATTATTCTTTTTTGTGTGTTTGGGTAATTGCACTAAAATTGGGTATACAAATACAAATTCTTACAACATAAATAATTGCCTTATACATCACACCAAACAACTCCTTATGGTTTTAAGAGCGTGTCTTTAAGCGTAAAATAAAAAAAAATGTGAAGAGTTTGTACTTTCTAGATATAAAAATATATATTTTTTAGAGCGTTATATAAAATGGAACAGATTACCCAAAAAGGAAGATATATACTAGGAGAATTTTATAATACCTTGAAACTGATTCTCTTCTCTCTGGACAGCGGAAACATTTTCTATTGGAACAGTCTTGTAATCCTCAAGAAATGTCTGACCAAGTGCAAAGGAAAAGTAAATCCATAAGCATATTGGATTCCAGGGATTTTACGTGCTTGAATAATTAAGTTCCAAAAATGGGAAAATAGTTCTCCTTCCTTAGATTTATAAATTTACCTTCTCAAGATCCCCGTCTGACATTCCTATCCATCTCAAATTTTCCACCATTCTATCAGATTTGAAGTCCTCACCAAAATCTCCGATATCGGGGGACCTAACATTCTGATCTTCCTTAAGTTGTTCAATGAAATGGAATGAACCCAAGTCATGGATTCGGTTATTATTAGGAGGAAGGAAAGAGAAGTCATCAACAGGAGCACATGAATTTCCACCCCATGATGAGTCTTGATTGATTAGATTTTGTGAAGCTAATTGGGCAACTGAAAGGATTTCTTCTACAATATCCGTTTGATTTGTAGATTGAAGAAAACTTGATTGAGGCATCTTGTTATCAACGTAGCCAACTTGAGGGAAGTCTTGAATCTCCAATGGAGGTAATGCGAACCTATGCTGCAACCTTGCACACTCTAATGCTATATTAACCTGAACAAGTATAACAAAAAAATTAATAAAAGAGTTTAACTTCTACTGTATATATACTACTACTCAATTAAAATATTTTTATACTATTAGATCACCAAGTACTGGAATTTGTAACATGAAAAATATACAAGGCATTATCTTGTTACAACGACTTAGTTACACTGATTGATAGATAAGTAGAGGTTGAAAAAAAAAAAGGATGAGAAACCAGCTCCCCAAAGAAATTCAAAAAGCAGACTTCTTTTCTTATATATTATTATCTTGTCCTAATATTTGGTGATACTCATTGTAATTAATAACATCAAGCTGAAACGATAAATTGACTAATAGAATTAATCTGCATGTTGACATTACCTTAGATGGGGGATATGGCAAAGTCCCATAATTTGGAATGGGGTGAGCAGTACTGTTGTTGAAACTAAAAGCTTCATTTGATAAATATTGCATATTCCACATATCATCACTAGGAGTAGGAGTAGGAGTAGCAACATTCATTGGAGAGCCATGGACTGCCATGGATGATGATGATGATGATGGCATTGCATAATCATGAGATCTAATTTCCATATCATGATATTTTTCACATCTTCCCTCAGAATAAATTTCAATGCTAGAGGATCTATCACTTGCATAATGGACGTCACCAGTTTTTGGACCATTTAAACTCCTCTTTATCACACGGCAAAGTGCATAAGCATCCTGTAAATAGAAAGCAAACTTAACTTAGATTGTCCAATTTAACTTAAATTAGAAACTCCGACTATGTAAGCTTTGCATTATCTATTGAGCTTCACACATGTGATGGAAGTCATTTTTCAGAAAATTGTTTTCGGACAATGAGTACTTACTTTTGGAAAACGTTATCCTGGAAAATGTTTTTTTGGTGTTTGGTTGGGTAATGAAAGATATTTTCAATTTTTTTCATTGAATTAATTATATAAGATCTATAATAATTTAGAAAATCGGTAGTGATCTAATGAATTATTGAATACATTAAAGATTGATATAATATCCAAGTGTAGGTTAAGGCAGTGATACCAAGTTAAAAGTTGAGATAATTTTGAAGGAAAACGACTTCTGCCCAAAAATGAGGAAAATCATCTCCTTCCTATGATCAAGAACCAGAAAATGCACGGTAAGACTATCTACAATAAACCCATTTGTGATATGGCTCTTCGCTGATCGCGCGCATAGCAGGAGCTTAGTACACTGGGCTATCCGATCAAGCACCAGAAAATACATTATTTTAATTTTTGAAAAGTATTTATCCTATCTATGAACATACCTGCAATCCATTGGCAACTTCACATTCGCGTTCGTCTAATCGATACTCATGCATAACCCAATCAGTTCGAGCTCCATGTGGGGCTCTCCCTCTGTAATAAACCAATGTTTTCTTCATCCCAACAGACCTCATCTGTGAATTTACTTTCCTGTCCTTTCCTGTGGCCTTCCAATATCCAGCTTTCGTTGCCCGGTTAGTCCTCGATCCATTTGGATATTTACGGTCTCGAGGACTGAAGAAATACCATTCAAGATCTTTGCTAGGCAATAGGGACTTTCCTATACATTTAAGGGACCAAAAAAAAAGAAGGCAAAGTGAGATCTTCATGTGAATTATATTGAAGATATATTAAGTATGTGAAGAATCTGACTGAAAACGAAGATTTTAAAGGACGGGAAAGAGATTCTTGAAACATAAAAGAAAGTGGATTAAAAGGGAAAAAGGGTATACAAGACATTGCAATCATGTCATTTTCTTTTTCCACACTGACTTTTGACTTCAAGTCATCATCATTCGAAGTAACAAGTACAGTCTTTAAGCTTCAATAGAAGATCAAAAGATGTAGGGACCAACTTCCTTTAAAGCTAGGAACATGAGATAATATTTAAGATATTTTTGTACTAAAGCATACGTTTTTTGATAGTGAAAGTGTGTTTTAAAGTGTTCATAATCAGAATTTATTTGTCAGCACGCGTATGAAACACTATGCATTTAAACTGGTAAATCAGAGTTATCTTACCGATGTTTTTAATTTTCATTTTCACATACTCAAGTTTGGAAGGGAAAAAAATCCCTTAAATTCCAACTTATATTTCTTCGGTCTTTGTTTAGCGACATGTGATCATCATTTTCTATTTGGATTTACATTATTTATAAAAGAAATTAAAGTAATGGCATGACTGCATAAAAATAATATACTCTTGGTTAAGGAAATAGTGAGTGGTATAATATCTTCGTTATACCTTTCTTGACAATCACTTTGAGATAAAATATAATCTTTTTGGCTAAACCTCGATCAGCATCAATGGTAGTTATCTTTAAAATTAGGCTAGAAAGTGCATGTTTCGCATGGTTTCTTTTCCTTTCATATAGGACTTGATTTACACGTTATGTGAACTATACAATATGTCCTCAAGTCTTTTTTTTGGGGGGTGGGGATTCCTTTAAAGAGTAGAACAAGAAAAGGAAAAATAAAAGAGATAGAAGAGTTATACCTGGAAGATCCCATGGCTCACATTTGTAAAGATCAACTTCAGGAATGATCTCAAGTTCAATTTTCTTGCCATTAATCTTTCTTTTCAAATAATAAGCCACAAGTTCTTCATCAGTGGGATGAAACCTAAAACCAGGTGGCAATGAAACAGGTGCCATCTATCTCCTTTGGAACTTCTCCTCACCTTTTCTTTTCCTTTAACAATATAGAGCTCAAGATATTGAGAAGAAGTTCCAAAGAAGAAGAGGGAGAGAGAGAGAGAGACAAAAGAAGTCGAGGAACTCAACAGTTAGAGAAGAAGGATATAAGAGGAAGTTGGAGGGATTGGAATTTTGGTNCCCACCTTTAGCTACTTTTACCTTTAAATTTGTTTTTTTTTTAATCAAATGAAAGCTTTATTAATCTTTCTTCTCAAGCTCAAGAACAATCTCCTTCTCAGAGTCACATAAAAGCTTTAGATGAATATATAATGAAATAACTTAAGAATATGTGTGTATGTTTGGATGAAATGTACTCATGCATATATATATATATATTACCTGCTTATATCTAGTTCGAGTTGAAGGTCTCATCCATTTGGACATAAATATTACTACTACTATTTCAGTATTAATATATACTAATTTTGTAATTGAACTTCACCAGTAATATTTGAATACTGATTTTAAAGGTATATTTCAAGTGAAATACCGTTCTCAATACTCACAAATTCTAATCTTCAACTTTCACAATTTTTTAAAAAAGAAAGTTTATATCCAAAGTTCCAAACACAATTTACTTTAACAGATATCCCTTCTCAATTTCAACTTTAAAATGTTTATATTTTTTTCTCAAATTTAACTAAAATTTTGTCCAATGCGTACTAAGTATATATAGCTATAATATTAAGCGATTGTAGGCGTTTGGACAATATTTGGCGCATGATGAAAAATATAATACTTGAGAGTTGAGATATTGAAGTTGAAAAGGAGTATTAAAAATTGATATTGTGTTTGGGGCATGAATTTCTTTTAATTTAAATTAAAATTCTACGAGTGATAATTCACTTGAAATATGTACTCCTCAAAAAAATTGCAATCCTTCAACAGCTGAAATTCGGTATTTTCAAATAATTAGGGGTGTACAAAGGAAACCGACAAATCGCACCAACCCAATAATCCGAGTCAAACCGAGAAAAACAATTCGACTATGGTTTAGTTTGATTTGGTTTGATGTTGGAAAAAAAAACCCGACCATAATTGGTTTGGTTTGGTTTTAACTAAAGAAAATCAACTCGAAATCAAACCAACCCGACATTACATATATAGAAAATTTAGATATATTTAATATATAAATATACTTATTGTGATGTAATTTATAAATATTTCTTAAAAAATTGCATAATTTTATCTTTTAAGGTATTATTTCAAGGTTGGACTTCGAACTTTTGAATGTTCCAATAAGTTTTATAGCCATTAATATTAGTAAATTAAATAATGCTAACAAAAGCTCAAACCAAAAGCAAATCAATAATAATGTTAACAAAAGACATTCAATTCAATACTACGAACGAGAATGTATTGAATATCTATTTTTGTTTTGCAATAATTTAGATAAAAATACATAACCTATTTTATTTTTTCTTTAGCGTTTTGTCATGTAACTAATACTCCCTTATTAGTCTACTTATTTTAGCATGACTTAGTACTTTTAGATTATGTTTATTTCTATTATGGTTTTTAATTAGCAATATTTATATTACATAATTTATTGTCTTTATTGTTCAATATTTTAGGATAATGCCATGACATATCTCATATTTTGTATTGTTTTCTTCGAAAATACTTTATATAATTGTATCTTACTGGGATTAAAGAAATATTTTGAGCACAAGTTATATGTTTTGTTCTACGAAGATTTTATCGGGAAAAAACTCGAAAACCCGAGAAAACCCGAGATTGAAAAACCCGAGTTTTATTGGTTTGGTTTGGTCTTTAGATTTAATAACCCGACACAATTGGTTTGATTTGGTAATTGTAAAATTCGAACCAACCCGACCTATATACACCCCTACAAATAATGATGAATAAAGCATTATTTACTAATCTTGAATTTCAGCGTTTAAAATGATGAAATGTTGAAATTGTTTTTTTTTTTGCAGAGTACATATACAAAACTTCAATATTTTCGAGTAATTATAAAATATTATTCCCTCCATTTCAATTTATATGTCACTTTTTTAGACTATTTATAAGAAAATATCACTTTTTGTAATTAGTAACTCTTTAATTTTAGGCCGAGTTGGTTGGACGAGTGATTTCGCACATGGAAGACCTGTGATCGATTCTCCTCAGGACTGATAGCTTCCTCAGTCAGAGCGTGTGACACCGGGCTTGCCTAGTGCGTTTTATATCTCCTGTATAGTTTACGGGTTATTGCACAATTAGCGGGTCCCTCCCCCCCCCTCCCAAAAAAAAAAATCCTTAATTTCAAAATCTCACATGGCATGTTTAAATAAACCACAAGATTCAAAAGATATTTTGGTATATTATATACATCTTTAGTTTAAATCACAAGATTCAAAATCAAAGTCTCTCTTATTTTTTTACATTTCCTGATCAATCAAATTAAAGCACATAAAATAAAGGGGAATTGACACCGTGTAACAATGCGTTAATATAATATAGCGAGAGTATTATTATGGTCAAACATCAACTTCAAATTCAACCACGCGTACGTAGCACATTATGTTCGCATGGTTGCATTTTTGTAGTAAAAATCTTAGCAAAATAAAATTTCTTCATAATCTTAGCAAAATTCGATGCTTCAAATTTGTCCATTATTGGTATCGGACTTTGCCTAACACACGTGGTGGTAGCTGAATGGTCAATTACCAACACAAGGGTAGTAGCTATGGGGTATTTTTGTAATTGCAAAGACAATTCTTCAAAGAGAAACTGTCTATATGTATGTATTGGCGGCTTTCTTAACTGCCAATCTGCTAAGAATGTTCCTTTCACATGCCTATCTATTCCCACTCCCTCCTCACCCATATTCATCGCTTCTACAAACTCTCCTCATTTGTGCACCTTAATACTCTATCTATTTGGCTAAAACATACTCTATTCTTAATAAATTTCAAGGTTCCAAATGAAAATTCTCGAAAGTTGTTGTCATGTGACTAGGAAGTTACGGATTCAAGCCGTGAAAACAATCTCTTGTAGAAATGCAGGGTAAGATTGCGTATAATAGACCCTAGTGGTCCAACCCAGAAAAGTACACCGGATTGCCCTTTTTTCTACCTTCTTTCTAATTTGATGTCACAATAATACTTGGTTTTAGCCAACCCAACATATTTGGGACTAAGGTATATGTACGTAATTGTTGTTGTTGTCATTATAGCGCCTAGTTTATTAACTTTTGGCAATAGAAAGAGTGCTTACATTACTTAATCTTGTTACGTGAGGCTAATTTTCTCTGAAAATCAGAATTAATTAGTCTAAGTGAAATGTGTGCACATTCAACAAGTTATACATTACAATTCATATTAGATATAAGAAAACTTTGTTGCATGCGTACGGGCATCGCCTTGAATCGAATTGAATTAGTGCAATTTCAATCACTAAAAAAAATGGAAATGATCTTTTCCGTAAGGTTATGGGATTTAGATTTTTCCAGACTAAAAGCGAAGATCAACGAAATGTTGATTGTAGCAATATATATGAAATCATTATTAAGATTGCGAGTGGAATCATAGAAATATATGGATTGAGTAGTTGATCCATGAAGATACCTTAGGAAGAAGAATGTATTTAATTTAAGAAAATAAAGGTAGGGATGTCGTGATGGGGCCTACTTTTGCCACGTGAATGAAAAGTTCCAACGTGGCAATGTAGGGTCCAGGTAGGGCAAGGATCACTTGTTGCAGTCTATTGTCGTTGTCACCAAAATTCCCTCAATTCCTTATCTCTGTGTGCTTTTCCTTTTCCTTTTCATCAATCTATCTTTTGGTGCTTTTCCCCTTTTTGGAGGTTTTATATTCTTTCTTCTTTATTTTTTTTATAATAATATCATTATTATTATTATTATTATTATATTCAATTCTACCCACTCTACTGTTCTTCTTTCCTTCTTACACTATTTAACATTAACGAGGGAGAATCACTCTTGGATCTCTCAACATATAGGGATTAAATTCACCATATAATACATCAAATAATTTTCAAGCTAAATAATTTTCTCTTAAGTTATAAAAACAGCTAACTTTCAGAGAGAGATAAATAGGTAACTTAGACAAATACGATTGAAACTACATTTGTCAGGTATTATTCTTAAGAAATATATAAGAAACACCTTAGAAGACCGATAATACAGACGGAAGATAGAAGCCGTAAATATGTGTCCCTAATTTTCCGAGTTAAGATAAGTTTATTCTACTGTATTACGAGTCAAGATAAGTTTATTTTACTGTATTTGTATTATTGTTTAGTAAGTTTCTGTAATTTCAAATTACCATATTGGTCGAAACTAGAAAGGTATGTTCAACTCTTCCAAATAAACAAACTATACTTTAAGAAAATAACTAAAATGTAATAATTAGGTACATTTTGTTATACATAGTTACATACGACAAACGATCGAGTAACAAAATGGAGCCTATTATTAATCTATACTAGTAGATTAGTCTGAATGCAATAAAGCATTATCTTTTAAAACTCAAATTCGTTCCCCCTCATGCATTCAAACCTCATTCCATTATGTCAAAAAGGAAAAAAAAAACAGTTTTTATTTAATTTTGTGCCTCATTGTTCACACTCATCTTTTATATCGTCTGCCTAAATTGTTTAACTCAACAATCATTGGATGGGACGAAACAAATTAAGCTAAATTTGTCATATTGGAAACCCCATATATATAAAAAGGACATAAAGAAGGAAAGTAGTTTGAACATGCACTAATGACGTAATCATAAAATCTCCAATATTAAATAATATAAAAATTGGGCAAAGATCACTTTTGACTACGGCCGAAATTATTGATATTCGGTAGACGAAAAAAATATATAATTTTTTTATATTTTCTGTATATAAGAAATATATATACACAAACACATTTTAAAAACGATCATTTTCCAAAATTACTGTCATTAAGTTTTCTCTACTAATCAAAGAACAAAACACTTGCCGAAAGGATGTCTTCTAATGCACAAAACGGACGTCACATGAATCGACAGCCCAAAAGAAGGAAAAGGTA